TGCGGGCGGCCGGCGTGGGTGACATGTTGATGGCGACGGTCAAGAAGGGCAAGCCGGAGCTGAGGAAGAAGGGTGAGTGCGGGAGGGGTGGGGAGTCCCGCTGTGCCAGGGCAGAGCCCGCCTGCGCTGCAGTGTCCCTCCTTCGGGGATCGAGAGGCAGAGGCCGCTCGTCGAAGTGAAAGACGATTCCTTCCTCAAACTGATGCGGAAGGCGAGCACGAATCTCTGGAGCATCGTCTCCACCCTTCTGAAAAGCACTCGTTGGGTCTATGCGCAGTGGCTCAGCGAGCTGTCGTGGAAGGGCAGAGCAAAGGCACCGCTTTTGGGTGAAGTGGCAGCCTGTGCTGCTCATTTCAATCAGCGGTGTCATATTCGACCTCGGAAAAGAAGGTTCGCTGCTGTGCTGGAGGGGAAGGGAGTTCTCATTGAGTATTGTCTGTGAATTGATGGTACGTTTAGAAATAAAGGTGGGAAGTGGAAAAACACTGAATTGGCTGTGTGTAGGTGCAGCCATAAGTCTTACGTGATCAGTTTGAAGCGTGCTATTGGCTACAAACTGTAGCTGCTCCTAGCAAAGCGCTGCAAATACGAGACCCAAAAAAACCCAACCCCAAACCCGCGCGTTGAGTTCGGTGCTGCAGCAGAACAGTTCCTCTGGGGCGGCTGTTGCTGGACCGTGTAATGTGATGTTTGCGATACCAAGGCGCTCGTTTCTCTTTGCAGTCCACCCGGCAGTGGTCATTCGGCAGCGGAAATCGTACAGGAGAAAAGATGGTGTGTTCCTCTACTTTGAAGACAATGCGGGAGTGATAGTAAATAATAAAGGTGAAATGAAAGGTGCGGACAAGAACCCCGTTGCACTGGGTGAAGGGGAACGTGGAGAGGGGTGGTAGGGTGGCGTTGCCGGGCAGGGGGGCTGCGCTCTCCGGGGCAGAAGGAGCCAGATTCTCCTTGGACTCAGGAGAGCACAGTTGGCTGCACCAGTTGTTGTGTGAAACACTGCCCTGCGCCATCTCTGCCCCTGCTCCGGCCTCTGATGCGCTGTCATCTCTGTCTCTCTTCCAGGCTCTGCCATCACAGGCCCCGTGGCTAAGGAGTGTGCGGATCTGTGGCCCAGGATAGCCTCCAATGCAGGAAGCATCGCGTGAGTGCGTTCGTCTTTGGAGAGATAAAATAAAAGTCCTTGTACCAAAGAAGTAGTGTCTTTCTTGCCCAAGCGCCCTCCTCTGCCGAGCAGGACGGTGTTAGGTGAGGGAGCTCGTTCTGGGAAGCCTTTTTACAGAACAGATGTGCACTTCAGCAGGAGAATGTGATTTGGAGTTTTAATATCCAGTGGTGTCTCGGGCAGGTTCCCGTACTGATGGAATGACTTAGGTCAATACTGACCGAATTGATCCAATTTATGTATCCACGGGTAGAAACAGGGAGGTGTAAGTGTGTTTTTTGTGGGGTGGGTTTTTTTTGTTGTTTTGGTTTGGTTTCCTTTTTTTTGCAGGGGGTGTTAGGGAAGAGGGAAGGGATTTTGTTTTCTCGCCTATGTACTGTCTGTCGA